AAATGAACAATAAAAAAAAAAAAAAAAAAAAAAAAATATAGCTATATATAAAAAAAAAAGATTCAGTCCTTAACCTTATACATAAAAATATAAATATAATATACATTCACGCACAAAAAACCATTCAAACATAATCAGCGTCAGTATTATTATAAATTTTATACAAGTGAGTTAAGCTAAGTTGTTTATCAAAATATCTCGGATTTTAATAATATCTTCGAGTGTCGGGTAAAAAAGGGTGATCACATTGAGTAATTCCCTCACTCTAAAAAGAAAACGTGTATCTTTTATTACCAAGCATTAATCAAGCATAATTTTATTGCTTTAGTCAGTCCACAAACTGAAATAACATGGCAACACTTATGTGAAATGATCAATATTGCATACATCACCGCATACCTATTCCAAACTCTTTACATTTATGGTTTGATATATTGACGATGCATCTGCATAATATTATATGATATTCCCAGAACATGGATTGAAGATGCTTGTAGATGAGAATGAATAAATAGTAATAATGTACACAGGTATGACATCGGAGGATATAGAATCTTGAATTCATTATAATAAATCTATCTTCTTTAGAGAGGGCGCTATTAATCTATGTTCTATGTTGATTTGACAATAAAAAAAGAATAAGGATCGTAGGCCTAGTATACTAGTATAAATCCTATTAAATAAATAATAAATATATCACTAAAAGAAACAACTTCACCCCTCCCCTCCCCTCCCTCCCTTGTATCTGTACGGGCCTTTGGTAGCCACATTTTAAAGTTTACAAATTTCTGTCGGAAGCCCTTTGCAAGTGGCCGGCAATTTTAGAAAGAGAAAGGGGGGGGGGGGGTGGCGATGTGAAGCTTAACACATTTTGAAAATATGGCACCATAGGCAGTGGCGTATCTAGTTTAGGCCTATTTTAGTTGACGTGAATGAGAAAAATGTATACGTTTATTGCGAAAATGATAAATTCATCAAAATTTTATTTCTAATCAGTGCCAAAAATATGTGCAAGGAACACGAATACTTAATAAAATAAATAACAGTGACTGTTTGTATTTACACAGCGTGCAGGGTATTGTGAAATATTGATAATATGCAATTTAATTTTGCAAATACACAGGATGCAATATTTGATGCATTATGTTTGGAAATAGGCCTAGGCCTACAAATTATTAATGAAAACCGTAGAGTTTCGAATAACATAGTGATGGTACAATTTTGATGTCACACTCTAGATGAGTTGTGCTTTGTACAAACACTTGAATTATTAAAAGTGTTTTAATTAAATTCCTGTGTTTGCTTCTGCTAGGTCTTATACTAACTACAATTTAAATTAGTCAATTATGACAGACAACCCAGGTTTGTTTGTGAAAGGGTAGAGGGGCGCAATGTTAGAATATGGCTAGTTTTACAGACTTTTACTAGTTTTAGAAGCATTTTATTACACAATTTCTTTATTCATTTGTTTATAGGAGAGCTATGATTATGTCCTTTATATGAACACTTTATTCACCTTTCTTTGGTGATATA